AACGCTGTGCAAATTTTTTCCAATTTTCCCGCCAAAAGTCTTAGTATATATAGGGCAAATTTTTTAATGACACCTTTGTAATTAATTTTATGAAAAATCACTTAATTAATTAAGGAATTATTGAGTTGAATAAAACTAATTGAAACACAAAACACTTGCTTGTATTTATTGTTTGAATGAAATATTTTACTAAAGATAATAAAGATTACAAAGAAGACACTTGTACTTTATTGACTTCTGTTAACAGCACTATAAATAATAACAAAGAGACGAAAAATAGTAAATTACTTTCATGGACATTACAATATTAACTTAGTAACAAATTGAAAAAAACTTGGCGCATGCGTATTTTGGGCGCCGTATTTTTTCTAAGTTTTTTGGCGGGAAAATTTAAAATTTTTAAACGGAGTACATGAAGCATAAGACGATTTTTTTAAAAAAAAAATGGCGCATGCGTATTTTGGGCGCCGTATTTTTTCTAAGTTTTTTGGCGGGAAAAATAAAAATTTTTAAACGGAGTACATGAAATATAAGACGATTTTTAAAAAAAAAAAAAAAATGGCGCATGCGTATTTTAAGCCCCCGTATTTTTTCGGCGGGAAAATTAAAAATTTTGACATGGGTCTTCACGAGTAATAGTTACTTCAAAAAAATTACAATGATATTGAAAGCTTTCATGAAACACTAACTTGCACCAGCTCTTAGTCAAAAAAAGTTTACAGGGAAACATTTCAAATTGGATAGCTAACTCGACTTTCTGAACAGTTTTGATACGAAATCAAACGAAGAAGCAAAATCTTCACAAGTTGCCTCCGAGAAACCAACACTGTGTGGCTGTGATAAGCAAGTTAAGAAGCTGAATTAAAAATTAAAATCAAACGTTTTGTTGCGGTTTTGAAGCAAGAAATCTTCTTGATAAAATTAGACAATCGAGGATCTTGAATCTCCGTCAAATTTCAAACAAAAGCGTTAAAGAGCGAAGAAAACTGTTAGTTACAAACTTATTCCAGTTACACAGTGTACGAGTTTCCTGTGAGAAAAACGTTTATTACTCGAAAACCTTACGAACTTGGTAGATTACACTTTGGAGACTTGGGCTCGTGTATCAAACAAGACAATTGGAATCAGTAAATAAATTTTACGAGCCGCAAAACAGAGCGAAAATAAACTTGTTTGAAACTAAAACGAACGTCCTCCTGTGTTTCGAAGTCTGCCTTCTTGTTCTTACTTATCCGAGAAAAGAAAACACTAGCGATCTTATCTATCTATCCTACTTTGCGTTGTGTTATCTTCAATGTTTTGTCCTTATTGTTTCCTCCAGTGTCTGTCTCCAGTGTCTGTCTCCAGTGTCTTTATTGCCGTCGCTCGCCAACTTCAGTACCTCTGTGCTCGTCTCTGTCCTTATCCTTTCGCTGTCTCGCTTGTAATGCCAAAAATCCTGAAAGAAATTTAAAAATTATTTACTTCACATGTCTTGTGATGTCTATGTATCAAACAATTGCTGAATGTTTTCGTGACAAACATTCATCTTCTGCTCCTTTAGATACGCGTTTGAATATTTTCGCAATATTTTCCTTGTGGCATTCATTAACTCAAACATGTAATTAACACAATTTGAAAACAAACTTTGCTTATTTACATTCGAGTAAGACGAAGTACAATCTTGAAACATTAACTCTTCACGCTGATTGCCAAGAGATCAAAATGTTATTTCCAAATGTTACTTCCTCTTAGAATATCAATACAATGTCAAGCAAACAAGTCTAGAGAATAAAGAAATTAATCAACTAATGAATAGTGTCCTGCTATACCACAAGATTGTGGGAACTGACATTGAAAGACAGGTAAAGCAAAAGATCTCGATGTGACTTACGAATTGTATGAACTCGAAAAGGTAAATAACGAAACACCGACGTTCGACAAATGCTACATGTAGTCGTTTATTCCACAGATAACAAATCACAACAGTCAAAAAATGCCAATTGATTATTCGACTGTTTCTAAAATATTTAGTACAAAATAAAAGTATAATAATAATAACAACAGTTCTTACCTTGAGGAGAATTCAAATTCCATAAGTTGACAATACACTGTGACATCTTTGTTTGAAGCACGTGCTTCAAGTCAAGTTGTTGTAGCAGGTTATTTGTGTTTCATAGCATCTCCAAACGTCAGGATAACCGCAAACTGATTTCTGATACTTTTTCGAAGCAATAAGCAAAGGTAACGGTAGATTTCTGTAAATTAAAGTTTTAAACGTGAATGGTTAACATACGGACGAAGAAAGCAATGCGACATGTTGTTAACACATATGAAATTTGCAATTTAAATTTTCAAACATTTGCAGCCACGCACTAGGGTGTTTAAATGCGGTCATCTGATTGGTTGCTTGTCTCATTGCATTTATGCGCGGGATTATTTCAAATTTTCTCTCACAGTATTCTTGGTGTTTGGACAGGAAAATCGACATTGGAAATAACAAAGTTAACTATGTTAGAAAATTCCTTGTAACCCGTAACATAGATAATCAAAAAGACCCCCCCCCCCCCCCCCCCCCCCCCC